GAAGTGAACAATGACTATTTCTTAGAAGACTTTGTTGACGGTGATATTGTGACTAATGTTATGAAAAAGTCTTTGAGCGAAGTCTTTGGAAGTACTCCCGAAAAGGTACGGAGATACTCGGAAAACCTCCTGAGCCCATCGCTGCTCCCGAAGTGCTTGTCGCTTAGCGTAAGCGGTTCAAATTCTCCAACAGTTCCCGGTACACCTCCGTCCTCTCCAGCAATGTATGATCCGAACATATCCGAACAGAAATCTTTAGAGTCTCAACTAGGATTGAACACTTCCCTCAGCTTGAATAGAAGCTCAAGTAAAGATTCATCTCTTTCTTTTTCTGTGAAAAGCTTTGCTGACTCACTCTCCAACTCTCTAATGTCATGCGTGGAGTTGACGTCATCCCTCGCAACTGCCATAGCAACCGTGGCGACTTCACCGGGACAAGTGGTATCGGATACCAAAGAAGCTTTCTGCAAAAGCCCCAAGAAAATAAGGTCCCCGGTAAAGAATGGAGATAGTATTTTGTCATTTTTGAATCAGAAAGTTACTCCATCGGAAATTTCGCCAAATAATACTTACTCTAATGGTTTTCACTTTACTGCGTTTGTAGAGGACTTATCGTCATTAGTGAAATCGTCAAAGTTAGAAAGGGTTAGGGTCGCAGATGACTCGGATAGCTGCTTGATGTCTTTAAGCGCCAGACAAAACCTCATGGAGGAATTCAATCAAGTTGGGGATGAATCCAACGCGAAAGTGTGCGAGCAGTTTGCAACAAAATTATCAAGCTTAATTGTTGATATTGCCATCACTTCGTTATTTGGATCACAATTTGGAAGGAACGAACTTGAGAAAGATGCATTGGAGATTCCCACCGAGCACATTACAGATCCTGACTCTACGGATTCATCTAATGGGCAAATCGATACTGGTTCTCAGTCCTTATCGGACGCTATGCATATCAAGGACAGTCAGAAGTTTCTTAACGTCCTTAATGGTCGCGTAGATGCTCTGTTGGCAGATACAATACACTCTGCTCTGGCTGAGGCGGTAGAATATTGTGTTGAGAAAACAGCTTGTGATTGGTTTTCTTCTCCCGTTGATGATGAACATGAACCATTGAAAGACAAAGATGGACAAGGAGAGACAGAAAATGGAACTGTTTGTGTCAGTAGATCAGATGTAAGTGATGTGAATTCGTCGGAATCTTCTGAAAAGGAGCAGAGCGACTTCCCTGAAGGAGATAAACTGACTGTAGGAAATTCCTTGAACGCTCTCGCCTCTGAAATCCCAGAGGCTGTGTATGAAATAGCCGAGAAACTTTCCCAGAATATCAGTTACGATGGAGTGGTGCAAGCATTAGCAGTGATGAAAGAAAAATCCAAGGAACTGACGACAGAAGTTCAAGTGGAAACTCCCCAGGAAGTCACAGAGCTTGAACCTGAGAAAAAGACAGAAGAATCGCTCTCCTCTTTTGACAAAGAGGGAACAGACAAGCAAACTTTGAATGGATTTGTGGAAGATTTGAGCAGTATGACGATACATGGAGCTGTTAAGATTGCAGGGGCACTTCTAGAGAAGTCCGACGGTGAACCCCGATTACGCCCCGTTGCAACCGGAAACTGGGGATGTGGGGTGTTTAAGGGGGACCCGGAACTAAAGGCTGTTATTCAGTGGGCTGCCGCGTCAGCAGCTGGGTGTCCTGTGGTAGTTTACCATACTTTCGGTGACCAGAGAATGTCACAGGTATGTTAACTTGAAATGATTTTAGTTTTTCTTTTTAATTCACTTCAGATTATAGGAAGGATTTTGTGTTCATCAGCAAGTTTTCTGCTTTACCCGCGCAACCTTTCGTCATTACAACTATGTTTTTTTCCCGAACAACCATATATTTTCCTCCGTTTTTCAGTGTCGGTGCTCGTCACATATAAATCTTGTCTTGTGTATGTTATCGGTAACTCATAGTTGCGCGCCAGGTGGTTGATCGAAAGACCTGGCGTTCGAATTCCTCTTGGAATCTCGGACTTTTGTCTCTCTTCTACGCTAGTGAAAAACTGGATGACAGATTTGATGATGTTTCTTTTTCCAACGACCGAGCCAAAAATTTAACATTTTATTTGTTCATTATTATGGTCATGTTCTCTCGGACTATTCCTGGTCGCCTCTTTCAAGTTGATTCCCGTTCTTTCCTTTTAGTTTGTAGGGAAGCTTAGTGCATGTCTGCTTTCCATGATTAATTGGTTAATGCGGTTGTCAGTTCTTTTTTATCGTTTGATACTCGTTTCTTTTTTTATTTTTCTTTCAAAGTTCCTCAAGGCACTCGTTTGTTTACATTCACGTGGCTGGAAAGTCTCTGACGTCATTCAAGGAGTGCTTCGATTCTACAAAGCTATCATGGAAGGAGGGAAGGAAACCGCTGGAAAATATTTGTCATTGCTGTCATTTCTCTGCCAAATGCGTCGACCATCTATCAAGAAATGAAAACGTAACGTTTACATCTACATAACAAAAGTGGAGGCCAGTCGGTTAACACTAGCTCTTTAAATATCTAAGTTCTCCGAACAGTTTGCGTTTCTGAGCGCGATCAAGAGAGATGGAAGTCGCCGGAAAGTTAGGATCCTTAGTTTTACGATTTAATGGAGAGGATGAAGGGATTTAGAAAATATCGCAACAAAGTAGCCTAAATTTATTATGAGATATCTTTGTATAGTAGGGTAAGATATATTCCGGATTGCGGTTTGGATCCATTAATCAGGAGTATGGAATCACAGAAAATATTGCGTGCCCTTTCTCGAATAATTCTTTGATTTGGTAGTTAGCTTAAAATAATGGGGACCTGCTAATTATTGTTCTGTCCTTTGGAGACACTCATGAAAAATAATAACAGTAGGCCATCGGTTGGAAGGAACATTTATCTTTTTAGGTAATGTAATTAACCTTCTTCTGCATTTCACAGTGCAACTGCGCACGCTTCGCACGAAAAGCGTGTGAAACTACACGGTGTCCCCACTCAGCTCCTTGTTTAAAGAAAAACCTTAATGCACATAACTTTGAGGGAAAGTTACTGGGTGACCTGGGTTCAAGTCTAGGCTAGTTCATGGCCTTCGGATGGGTATAGAGCTTTTGTCATTTTCATTACGTTATGAGTTAAATTATTTGTTCTTCTTGTAATATTCAACCAGGATGTGTGTGGTTTTTTAGAGCACACGTCTTTTTCACAAGGTAGGAGTTGTACATCTAGAGTTTTAATACAGAATTATATTTTTGTTTATAATTAGTATATACAACTAAGTGAAGTTTATACATTAGAATCTTAGGGGCTTATATTATTGTTAACGTTTTTTATTTTTAAGACGTAGATAGTTTGCTGAATAAATTTCCAGTTTCATTATACAAAGACATTCTTTTTGTAAATAATTGAATACAGAGATTAAACGCAATCGAAAACCAAGTATATTTACTTAAACCCTTGCTTACAATTATGATCGACGAAAGTATCTCGTTTCATTTTTTTTCCTTCAGTCGAGCCGGTTTCAGCAATGTTTATTTGCGTTGTGTTTGATCGGGTATCAATATTTTCTGCAATATTTTCCGCAAAATTTTCCGCATTATTTACAAGGGAATGATTAACTATGATATTTATTCATTTCCACGCCTACTAAACACATAAAATTACCCTCGATGCAAACGCGTCAGTCATTAAGGACATCAGGCAGGGCTCGTTTAAAAAGAAAACCTCATTCCTCACCAGAATTAATGACGAACGTCAAATGAATGTAATAATCATCGAATGCGTGCGTGCGTGCACATACTTTTAAGGGTTATTTTGGAGTCCCTTATCAGTATTCAAAATAGATGTTCACAAAAATCATTAGAACCTCTCAATTGTCACAATGGAAGGAAATCATGGATGAAATCCTTCAACCAAGTATCGTTAACCGGTACATTATTTCAGAACACGATAGCCCTTTGTATAGTTGTAATGGACACAGAGCACGAGATGATGATTAATTTTTTTTTTGTGGAGTATCAATCTATTTTACTTCAGTGAACTTTTTGACGTTTTATGTAAAAAACGCCCCCATAGGCGAATCTGTCTTCTGCGCAAGGTACTTATGACGCGTTTAAATCTATTTCATTTCCTCTTCAATCAGCGACCATTGTTAGTTTCCCAGCTCATGACGAACAAGGAACGAGCACAATTGTAATTATATTTGCTGCACTTTTACGCCAATCCTCTTACGTTATGCCATTTTATTTTGCCGCTTTGTTGTTTATAGTTCTCATTTCCGTAAATAGAGTCATATTCTTTGCTTAAAATTACTCGCCGCGGCGGTCGCCCGAAAAGTTGCTATATTAAGATTTAGAGCGCGTTTCCTGCCTCGCCGAAGAGGTGTTATAAATAGCTTCCATTGTTTCTTAGCGAGAGGTCGCCGTTGTAAATTGTTATCAAACGTGGTAAAATGAAAAATTCATTATTTCAGATAAATTATGCCTTAATGTACCGAAGCGCTTTTGCGGTTCGTTTGGGGAAAAATAATAACCTGTAAAATGAGCTAAGAGTCGTGATAGAGAAAAGAGCAGAGTACCAAAAGGAAAACATGCTGCTCAACACGCAAACTCAACTGCGAATTATTGAATTTTTGATCATCGATAATAAACAAACCGAAGTTTTCATTCGTCCTCACAATGTCTTGCTGTGAGAAATTAGAATAAAAAAAATGCATGGAAATAAAATTTAGACGTCAAACTCGGTAAAGCGGTGCGCACGTAGACCGTGAACTTTAAAAAAAAAAAGCTGCTTTTTACGATGTATAATTTGCCGCAAACTGCAGCAAGTAATGAAATTTCATGACGAGAGAATCAGTAAAAGTAAGATGGGAAATGAGAACCGAACCATTAAGGATAACACCTGCTGAGCACGAATAAATATGATTCAATTGTTCCACTACCACAGTTTACATGCATACTGATGAGTTCACAATTAAAGGTGTTTGTATGGGAGAGGCGTATAATTGATAAAAGCAGCGACTTGTGTCAGGAGTCCAGCAGTGAAAAGTACTGTTCCTTGGGTTCGGCAGGTATCACTTGTCAGAAATCTACGGTCTCTTTGGAAAACGACTTTAAGGTGAGAATCACAGGCGTTTTTAAGCCAAAATGAGCAAGATTTGCCGAACTTATAAATGCTGAGGCTTTGGAACAATCGAATTGATAAAGGAGTCGTGTGAATGAGTTTTGTCGGTAAAATTGATTCCGCTTTGAAAGCTTATGGATGCTTATTTTCATAGCATCGGGGATAGCTAGTACTTTAAATTATTTATCAATAACTCATGACTAAAAGCGAAACCACCTCTAGAATTACATTGCACATTTTTAGAGAGGTGTTCATGTTGTCTTAGCAGGTAAGCTCTAACTTCAAACTTAGAAGTCTTAAATGCCTTATCAGTGCGTATATATGCGTATAGATGACTTCATTTAAGCTATACTCGATGTCATTACAACTCGACGTAGACGATATCTTCTGAAATCAAACTCAAGTGAAATAAGGAAGGAAAGATTCATTACTGGCCGTGTATTTATGCACCACAGTTCTGAGTTAGATGATGCAAGCGCCTTAAAATATGTCAGTGTTGTCAGAGTTGTCAGAGGATATGAAGTTTATTTTCCAACTGAGTGAAGGCAGAGGTCGCATGTATTTTGATGGCATTTAGGTGTTAATTTAAACTTACCTTTGGCTTTTAGGTATTGTTGGTTTCGATTGTTTTTGTTATTTCCAGCTGACAAAATACTGATGCTCTTGGTTTCTCTGGTGGTAGACCAGTTGGAAAACTTACAGTGGATATCTCGAGTAGGATGATAAACGCTGGGGGGCATTTTATATTATGTATTTCATTCATTGGTTTGCATTTACTCTCTAAAAGGGACATTAATCTAATTTCAATTTTAAGTTCTACTCTAAGTAGAGAGTATACTACCAAACAACAAATTTTCATCGTTTCGTTTAGAAGTCATTTTAGAATAGATTTGATCTCAAACAATTTGCTAAACCGTTTAAGTCATGTTTCTAAGCATGAAGTTTTCTTGTATTTACTTAATATTTTGATAGTTACTACCTGTCGTCATCAAACTAATCAAGACCTTGCCTTTGAGTGTCTTGAACGTTTTTTTGTGTAGTACTAAAATACTTTGATCACAAAGCTGTTTCATCTCTCTTCTTCCTTCTCTTCCCATGACGTTTTCTTGTCACATGAAAACAGAAGTTTTGTCGTCCATAAGAGCCTTCTCTCTTCAAGATGTGTCATGGAATAAATTATTCGAAGGTCATCGCCTTAAGCAGGTGCAACATCAAAGCGCAGTAAGAATCGATATGTAATGATGCTCGTTTTTTTTTTTTTAAATAGAACTCTTTCGAAACTTTTCATCGAAATTTTCAACCACAAGTCAGTTGGAAGGAAATATCCTGATCGGGGAACCAAAGCTGTTTAATTAAAAAGAATTATTGGAAATCGGTAAAAAAAAACTTATTGCAGGAACAGGGGACAAACTAATAGGTAATAGGAAATGGTTTATTGACTTGTGTACAGGTCGATATGAATATGTGATAGACGTGTTCTCTCTAGGATTGACAAGATTATCAAGTATACTGATATACATGGAGAGTTTGAACGATTTGAACAACAAATTACAGTGACGTTTGGACACAGAACTGACATCCTCTGTGCGACAATTGAGCTTTGAGTCGTTAATCACCACTCTCTTTCTTTTAGTATAGAAACATGTTTATGCTGTTTTGAGCGTCGGACAGGACAACTGATTTCCAATTCCTTTTAATAAGCCGAGCGGACGTTGTCGACGATTTCAGTATTTTGCCTTAATTTCTAGCTGAGCTCGCATTCACGGCTTTATTTCAAATGGATTAACTTGTCATTTTTAAATGTCAAATAAACTCGTAAGGACCGGCAAATATAAACTATTAGTCCTAACAAGGACAATGTACAGTGGACATTCTTGTTAACACTTTTAAAAGCCTTGTAAGTGTGTTCTAAAATCTGCCAATGAACTAGTAATGGCACACTCAATTGTTACTTTGCGATGGGTCACCACATTGTCTTTTATTTTCAAAAATTACATTGGAAAAAAAAAGACATTTGAACCGTACTACCTTAATTAAGATTAGTCAGCTGATCAGTCGAACGGAACAAAAGAAAAAGAGGGGCATTTCAGTCTTTGTTCGTTTGGAAATTAACGAGACAGCAGATGTTTCATAAAAACACTAAGGACTTATAAAGCGCTTCATCTTGTAAAAAATTTTCCTCCTCGTTTTTTTTTTGGAAGTTGATGTAAAACACGACTCAATATTATGCAAGCAAATAATGAGCACATGCCGTCCAACTTTTTAGTATCTGTGAGTTCATCATGTGTTAGCATCATATCATCCTTGGCGAATTTTCTCCCTGAAATATTAAAATTACGAGCAACAGTCCTTATTTCAAGATCGAAAGACCTTTACTTCTCAAAGACGGCAGGCTCGTTACTTAAAGCGGTGCGCCTTTTTGAAACTGATTAAACGGAACGTTCATATTCACGTCTTTATTAGCAATTCAAATATATTACTTTCATATATTCACAGTCATTTATTCGCCACTTCACGGGTTTATTTCGAACCAACTGGCCAGCTCCCAGTTGGCTTGTTTGCTCAGTTGGTAGAGCGCTGCACCGGTACCGCAGAGATCATGGGTTCAAATCCCGTACAGGCGTGAAATTTTTTCAGGTCTTAATTTCACTGCTGTTCAATTAGTGTTCATTACTGCGAAGATCGCTTTCACATTCACGTCTTTAGCCGCAGTTCAAATATATGACTTTCATATATTCACAGTTGTTACTTTTTCACTTTAACCTCAAATATGGCCTCATTATCAACCATTTTCTTTAAGAGAAAAGTTTTAATTAAAACCAAAAGCGGTATCGTAGAGATCATGGGTTCAAATCTCATACAGGCCTGAATTTTTCCAGGCCTTAATTTCACTCTACTTAAGTAGTGTTCATTACTGCAAGGATCACTTCCATATTCGTTAAAACCATCAACCTTTCCAATTATGTTTTACAAGATGTCTAATGGCTTGCAGAGATGAGAATAACCCTGGCTATGTTGAAATTCATAGTGAAAGCTCGTTAGTGCGAAGAAAATGGAGGTATAAACTGAATATCTATAACAACTAGTTACTAGCATATGTCCGTCAAATCAAGAAAGGACTGGACTCTTGAATCGTTCGGAATGCAAGGAAATGGGTGATCTTACTGGGAACGAGGTAGCCATGTCAAATAAGTCGGTTCTATTCTTAGCCGTCTCACTTTACTATTGGGTTAATTTTTTTCTTTCCGACCGTCGAGTAAGAGGGTAAGGTCAAATGATGGCTGTAAACTTGATGGGAAAACACTGTGAAATAAAGAACCAGAAACTAGTCGTAAATCAAGAGAGAAATATGCGAGTTGTCACGAACGACGTGGAATATGACTAATGACTAACCCGTCGTTTTTCATGTTAGATATTTTTATCCAGGAATCATTGTGACATTTACGAATGCTAATGCCACAGAAGCGACCGTTTGCGAATTCTTTCCCGATCCGTCATAATGGTATATTTGCTTTCACTGGACGGATTATCACACAGGTTTCCATTGAAAGCTGCACAAACTCTGAAACTTACCCTTCCTCCTCCCTTGGAAAACATTTACATTTTTTGCAAAGAGGGAGCTGTTATGAATAAAAAAGGATAAGGTTAAGCAAACCTTGACACAATGAAAAGCGTCATCTGGAGGATGAATCAGTGAAAATAACGAAAGATATTTTTTTACTTTAAGTATCATACGAATGCTTTGACATCGACGAGGTCTCTTTTCTTCATCTCGGATTAAAGAAACATAAACGACTCATTGAAATTACTTAGAAAAAAAATGAATTAAAGTGAAATTTAAACAAGATGTTCAGGATAAGATAACGGATTCCGCAGTGACTTTTCTCAATCATGAATGGCCGATTTTTAACCAAACTGATAATACATATTTTCAAGGCGTTATTAGTCACAGACTGTTTAACTTCTGCTATATTAAAACAAATCAGCTTAAAGAGCTCTTGTTTAGGATCTTGGTTTTTTAGCACAGATATCAGGCTTTACCTAATGTGTCTTTAATTTAACAGCTCGCAACCGACTCACATCATCCCTTGCCTTTGAATAAACACACCCCAAATAGGTTGTCCATTATTAGCGGGAAATAAAGACATATCAGTTCAACATTTCGCCAAATGCTTTAAAGATAAGTTAAGTTGGGTGTTTTAAATCTAACTTAAAGGGGTTAGATTTTTACTAAAAGTTCTAAATCAGGGCGGATTCTTTAAAAATACTATTCTCTTTTTATCATTTTCATCGATGTAAGGTCTCTTCTTTGCTGATGCTGTGTTTTCGTTCAATTTTCATCAACTTTCTTTGCGGCCAATAAATCTTACCCATACGTTATCAGATAAGGTAGCTGTAATGTTATGCACAGTATTTCCGCTCGTTTTTCTCCGCGGTTCTCCGTAAAAGTAACTAGAATCGACAGCGATCTCTTATAAAGGTGAGGTGATAAGATAAGCCTTTTCCCATCTCTAGTTTATGGGTCAACCAAAAGATTGTAAAGTGTAGTATATGCGGTTAAGAATATATAATCTCTTGCATTAAGTTATCTCAAATAGCAAAGAAAAAAAAAAACGTTCACGCGTAGTTCGTAGAAACCCCAAATCTTAAGAAATTTCACCGGACAGAAAGTAACGTGGGTTGCTAATACAATCAATTATGTTAGAGCGTCGTGCAAAATTAATACAAATGGATAAATGAATGAAGGCATGAAGTTGAATGAATTAAAACACCCCCAACATTCTTCGTGGAGTAGCAAGTGTTGCGAAAATGTAGTCGAAGGTCCGTTTCAGTTGTAATTATGCTTTCACAAAGTGCCGGTTATTATAATTTTGATTTGATAAAATGGCACGAAAACTTTACTAGAAATTTGATTTCAATTCACGAAAACGAATTCTTAAAAAACCTTTGTGTCGCCTTGACATTTTAACGCTTTGTTCAAATTATAATCCATCTCTCGTTTAAAATCTACCATATCCTTGAAATTAATTTCAGATTGGCCGAGTTATTCTTTTTTTTTTCTCTAAATTATTTGAAAAAATTGCGTGATATATGTCTTCGCAATACATAGTACTGAGCACAGATTAAAAATAGATTTGACGTTTTCTCTACTTTTGTTTGCATTTTGTGGGGTCAAATGTCAACCACATGCCATCCTCAACCGCTTTGTACGTCAATTGGCAAGCAGAAACCGTATTAATAAATAAACATAACACGTTTTGCATGTCTTAGCAAATGTAACTGCACTCACTGAGTCAGTGGTCCAACGAATCGAGAGAAACGTATCTTAAGTGGGCTAAAAGTGCCGAATGCTGTGAGGTTCTGTAAGTTGTAATTTTGTTTTTATTCAGGCTACAGATAGTAAGTGTTTGACATTCTAAGTTGTTAGATCTTAATTTCGCTCTTTCTCGCGTAACGTCCTTAAATGAAAAAAATATGTATGCATATATCCTACGGACATTGCGTAAACATGATTCTAAATCAAGATTAAGATTCAAAGCTCCATAAAATCTCAGTGTCCATCGTTGCTTCCTAATTCGCATTGGCATGATTTCTGTCTGGGTGCGCATTTCATAATTTCGTGTTAATTTTGGGCCTTTTTCCATGCCCCAATATTTACTATCCACTGACTACCTTTGCTCATCCCCAGCAAATCGTCCATTCGGTTTTCTTTTTGAACCGAAGTTGAATTCTACTCTCTAAGAACGCTTGTATGCCAGAGAAACCTCGAAATCCAAAATGTATTTCGTCACTTAGGTTCCTACCTGTGTTGATTTTAGGTAAAAGCAATCAGAAGAGCAGTCAACAATTACACAAACAAAACAAACAGAGTCAAAGAAGGCAGGTATTTTTCCTGTCGAGTTTTCCTCAAGATCATATTCCGTTGAAGTTCGCTGTTGTGGGTCTTTATATGCTCTTAGCAAACCTCGCTTTCAATTCTTCAAGAGGGCAGTTAAATCAATTCATTTAAGCCAGAGACTTTCATGATCCCTAACGCGTTTACGAACCATCAAACGAAACGATGGACAAGTGGATGTTGTTTGATAGGCAGATGACAGAAGATCTAAAAACTTCTTTCAAATGCAAAAGATAAATACACCTGTTAACATTGGATTGGAAAACAAACGTTAAAAGTGTTTTCATTCGGCTAGAGATTTAACATTTGTGTGTTTGACGGTGCCTTGGGGCCACACGTAACAATTGGCGCGACCTCACAGACCAGTGTCGCCTACGAAACAGGGACGAGTAATCCTTCAACTGTCTATGAGTCGTCTCTCAACATCGTTTCATGTTTAAGCTTTATATTCCGTGCTCTATGGTCAACAAAGGCCCATTCTTAAAAATGGTGATCGAGATATACGAATTATCATATGAAAAAAATAATAAGCATAATGACAAAGGACATCCAAATATCATGCACTGTAAAGTTTTAAGTGAAAGCAACTCCTCCTATCTCATAAATGTCGGTCTGATTGTTTGCTTATACAAAATAGACTTTAATTTTTTTAAAGCGCTTCCCTAAAACAACGTCAAAACTAAGACGGCAATCCTGGACTATTTTCGGCTTTTAATTGCAAATCGCTTTATGTCCCTTTAACTTGTAAATAAATGAAACTTTGTATTACCACTAAACAGCAGACGCTGTCACGAGAGCTGGTACAAGTTACCCTTATATTTTAATATTCAGTTGTTCTTTTTTTAACTTAGTGGATTTGGTGGATATAACCACTCTACTGCGCTGAGGAAACGAACACACTACGATATCCAAATTTTACATTCGCAAAAATCTGAATAGATCTCTTACTTTCAGCTTTTCTAGTTTTTCTAACGGCCCTGCTCCCGGGAGGAAGGAAACCCTTTCTTTGATCCAAACGGGAATTTGCCGCCATACAAAATATGGATTTTGAGACTTTGTGTCTTCAATGGGGTGTAAAAATTTCACTAAATTTACCGTCCAGATAGCACCCACGCGAACGAATAAGGCGTGACTGATGGCAACTGGTCGGCAGTTTACATGTGGGCTTCTGACAGCGTTGCTCAAAGATCATTCGAAATATTCAATCTAACTATGTTAATGACGATAAACCTTACCTGTGTCTCGCGCGGGTAGTTTTTCGGGGGCGCTCGATGGTAATGGCGAGGTAGAGCCACCGTGGTAAACAGTGGAAAACGAGCAGCGGAAATCCGTCTTCCGTTCCAAGTCTCTCACGGCTCTACACTTCATCGCTTTAAATGGGGAATTATTATGGACATTACTGTGTGTATTTAAAGTATAGGACATATTAAGTATTGAGTAGATAATAATTCTCCATACATGACGTACCTAGGTAAAGTGCCCACAAAACCGCTGGTTAAGCAGGCTTAGACAAATACCACACCAACACCTCGATCACATTCTAAAAGAAAGAGGGAAGGAGGGAAAGACTCTGCCGCAACAAGAATAGGAGCAACAGACCAACAGTAAGTCAAACACCAAAAAGTTGATTTGCCTATAGATAAAAGGCAGTGGTAGTTTAAAACACGAGGAGTGTTGGAATTGTGAACAAAGATGTGAAGCATTGAATTGTGTAATGACGAGTTCATGGTGGGCAGTGACCCTCTGCCGGTTTAAAAATGATTTTATTCGAGTACATCGACTAACGCCGATCTAAGCATGAATCCGGCGTGTTCCTTAAAAGTGATCACTAATTTTATGTAGTGTTTCCTCTGCAGTTTAGAAACCTACTAATCCGATATCGGCTTGGAACAAGGTAGCAGTAATTCTGAATAATTACTTTTCCAGGCCTTAATCTGAAACAGGGCCTCTCAATTTTGCTGGCTAGATCACGGTCAAGGGTATTTTTCAAAAAAAATTGACAAAGGATGAGAAGGATGAGATGGATGAGATAAAGTAGTCTTGACGTTAAATCAAAGACTCGATCATACCTGGAACCTCTGAGTGATTTTGTAACTGTACACCATTGTTATCTGGTTGTTACTTTCTATATTTTTTAGTCGTCAATGTAAAAGTGTCAACACGTTATCGCCTGTAATTGTTCACTCAGTCAGCGGTCCAGTTTATGGATGTCCATGATTAGATAAGGGGACCTGAGTGATGCCAAAAAAACGAAAGCTTCCCTTCCGACCATGCCTTGATTTAACTTTCAGGTAATTTGCGGTGTGACTTTAATAAGTATACCATGCAAAGTGAGGAAAGAATCTTAAACACCACTGCTATGGCCACAGGTATGTTATACGTGAAAAAAAATAGGTGGAGCTTCACGAACACTGACAGATGAGCGGTACTCTCGCTTTTAGTGTTCGCGCGGCAATAATTTTCAAGCGCACGTCTATCAATAATTAAAGAATAATTTCATAAGTCTTTTTTGTTTTGTTTTGTTTCTTTTTTGTAAAATTTATATAACACATTAAAAGGAGAGAAAATCTCGAAGCACAGTTTGAAATTTCTGAAAATACGTACTGCGGCGAAATCGTCCAAGAAATGTCTTCAAAATGGTCTCTATATGAAAACGAATCAGTAATCAGGTTGCAAAAACAAATCCAAAGGGCTTTTTTCACAACACCTTTTGCTCTGGTTACCGCCGAGAAAAAGGACTTTTATTATCGTAGTCAAGAATTCTTTTTGTATGTATCCTAAGTTGGAACAGTTTCATTGCTCTTCGGAATTTTAAAGCGCAGATAGTTTCATATTTTTATACAGTTTTTTAACCCCTCAGAGTGACAGGCATCTTATTTCTCCTTACAATATCACCCCTGAATCACCCATTAGGTCATGAGAATAAAGGAAACGATCAACGACTAAATAAGCTCTTGATCGTTGACCAGATTCTCCCTGTCAGCAGCTTAGGAGATGTATAGAGAACAGTATGGAGAATGTATAAAGAACAGTAGATACAGATAAATATAATAAAGGAAGTAGGTTTCTAAAAAAAACTGTGGTGTTACGTAGGTGGGGGAGTATAACGAAAATATTTTGTTTTATCAACTGAGTTTGTAATGTAAATTAGCCACCATAAAGACCTTCAAAGCTGCCTTTTCAAGCGTCAGCCCTTCATCAAAGCGAAGGACTATGGGCTAACGCTTGAAGTGTCAGCTTAATTTATTTGAAATATTTTACATATATAATATGCATACCGATGTAAAGGTATAAAGGATTGATACATTTTTGTTTATCACTTGACAGAACTGCAAGAGATGTCCAATTCATCTTCTGATCAAATCCCTGGACGACCTGAACTTAGTTCAAGTTTTGTCATATTCGTAACAATTTATGCCGTTATAGTCTTTATCGTTGCGGTGGTTGGAAACTCCTTGGTGATATACATTGTAAGCGCAAGGGAATACATGAGAAACTCCACTAACATACTTATAGCCAATATGGCAGTCGCAGACATCTTAATGGCATGCTTATTTCCGTACATGCTCAGATGGCTTTATGTCGGAGACGAATGGTTTGGTACGTTTATGGGGATAGCTCTATGCAAGTTTTTCCATTCTGCTCAGGTGCTCTCCATCTCGTGTTCTGTTATAAATCTCGTGTTCATCAGCCTTGATCGATGTATAGTGATATGGTTTCCATTAAGGCGAATTTTCACTAATAAAGTCCTGAAGGCGTGTTTGGTAGGAAGCTGGGTTTTTTCTACAGCATTTGCTCTACCCCTGATTATAATGACCACGGCAAAGAAAGATCCAAATGGAATATATCGCTGTAACGAATATAACTGGCCTACCTCGCAAGACAGAAACAACTACGTTACTTCGTTCACAGTTTTGTCATACCTTACTCCTCTTCTGATTATTACCATTGCCTACATACTCATTGGTGTAAAACTTCACAATCGAGAATTACCTGGTGTTCAAACATTAGAATATCAAAAGAAAGCCCATGAAACGACAAAAAAAGCCATAACGATGCTTGTGACGGTGGTGGTCGTATTTGCACTCTGTTGGCTCCCGCTCCAAGCGCGGGAATTTATGCTGCATCACTTTCCACAGACACTCTCCCTCTTTCCAATTGAGGTGGAGGTATTACTACCATGGATTGGTGTCTTAAACAGTGCAATAAATCCCTGCTTGTATGTTATATTTTCTGAGAATTTTCGTCGCGAGTTTGGCCGCGTTCTTTGCTGTATGGGAAACACCCGCTCTGATGCTTATTTGGGAATCCCCGCAACACGTGCAACGCCTATGACCACGCCTATAATGTCTCGGCGCATGACGACCACCCCTATTATGGGACGGCGCACTCTGTCAGCCGCTCACATACACGAGACGCTTCCTCTGCGACATTTAGCAACCGATCAGAAATGAACTGAATTTGAACAAACAAAAAATTATTCTTAAGTCTGATCCCGGTACATGCAACGAGTGTATATTTTCTTCCCTCGCTTTAGATTAATGAGAATTCAAGTCGTGCGGGGTTTTACCAAAACGTTTTATCGGAAAACTTTGAAAATACTAAATAAGGGAAGTTTCATTTTAAAACAGGTTGAAACTACCTATACGTTTGGTAAATTTTCTTTTCTGCCAGTACGCATAAAACTTTGGACCATAATCAATATTTGTGCACACAGCTTAAAAGTTCCATTTTAAGAGGTAAAACCGGCATTCTGCTCAGTTGTATGTTCTAGTTTGTGTCAGAGTCTCAGTCAGTGGAGACCATAGAAAAAGCCGCGAGCAAGCGGAGAGTGGCGCAAGTCGTCCTACAAAAGGTTTTTTAGTTCCTGACTCGCCCTATCTTTCTTTCACCCTCTTAATCGTGGGCCTGGCACGAGCAGAAAAGAGTTACGAAAGTCGGTACAACAAGTAAACTTCCAAAATTTTATTATAATTAGATGAAATACTTTTAAAATATTGTTCAACGATTGTTGTTGTTGTTGTTTAAATCAATCTTTAGCTAAATCAAAGCTAAATATTTCTATCCATTAAAACAAGAATGAATTAAATCTCAAAATCAATTAAAGAACGTTATTTTTTGTGATAATTGGTCATTAAATTAATGAAATCAGAGTTATTTTTAGTTTTACTTAATTATATAAATTCCGGTGCATGAAATAAAGTCTATTTATGGTGACAGGTTATAATCACTGTGTTCTTGGTTTGCAAAGCTCGAGTTCATTCACGAGCACATTTGTATTGTAGAAAGATTGCAATGATGTACGCAGGGTTGTTTGAAATACATTCATTCACATGTAAACATAAGTGGAAGTCGTCACAAGCAAATGGGGCTATAGTCTAATTGCGTTTGCTTACGATTCAATTTGCCCGCAGTTAGTTCATATGTAATACTAAAAAAAGCAGGGTCAAACTTCCACTTACGCCCAGTTGTTTTTCGCTCTAGCGGACCTTTCATGCAATCACTCTGGTGTTAACCTCTTCTCTATGTTTACTTCTCCACACTGGCAACGGAAACGAGGTGTTAGTCTCCTTAGCAACCGTTGTTTGGTTTCGTCTCGAAGAGTGTTGTTTCCCCCATCATGTTTTGCTTGACGAGACCTCACAATGACTGTGGGGGGACTGGTAAAGTGCGGTTACTGCCAGTATATTATTAGTTGGCCACTGGCAGAGGTGTAACATGGTAAGAAGATCAACCCTCTAGACTCTGGGAAGTCCTGTCCAAGTAAAATTTTTTTTTCCTGTATAAACGTGATTTCTTCGATGAATTGGAAACCTTGGTTTTTTTTTTTTTTTGTTTTGTTTTTTTTTTTACTGTTTAGGTGACATGTTCCATATAGGCTTTCGAGGGTGAAAACGTATTACATGTACACTCTTTCAGCATGAAAAGTTCAAACAAACCATGATCACAAGTCTTCAAAATAATAACTAATCAGCAGAAGTTTGTAAAGAGCCACGTCACATGTTTATGGTAATTTGCACAAATAATGATTACCTTTAAAACAGGTAACTTTTGAATTAGTAGTTTCGATGAAGGTTAAAGGCTACCGAATAATTCTGCCTCGTGGTTTTAAGTATTGGCCAATATGATTAAGTGCTCTTAGGGGCCATTGTTAGTCTTATTCTTTCTTGCGTGACACGATCTTCATTCGCGCTATTTGTAGACCATTCGCTCAGTGGCATCGTTTAGTGACTCATGAAAATTTAATACCACGCAACCAGTGATAAAACCAGACTTCGTGTTGGACAGTGGACTTTGAAAGAAGCATTTTCGTTTAATGTAACACACAAGATGTGAATTGATCTAATAATTCTGTTTCTTTGATATAGTAGCATTTTTACCATTGAATATACTATCTTGCACAATACTAACAATTGTAACAATATGAAATTTAAAAAACGATCTCTGGCTAAAACTTTTAAAAATACGAGCTTTCGGCTGTTTGCGCTACAGCCTTAAACGGGTAAAATGATAAAAAGGTAAAAAATATACTAGGTGTGAAGTACAAAGTAAAAATTAAAAATGCTGATAACTAAGAATGTTTGTTAAAAAGAATGTTGTATTGTCCGGGCAAAGGACAGGAATTATTGTCCGCATTGGGAGTTAACTTGGAATGCCACGCTTCTAGTATTTTTCTTGTTCTGAAACCGCCTTTGTCAATAATAGATGCATTATCAAAGTCTATTGCGTGACTATTGTAACAATAATCACGGAAAACCTAAAATAAAATTATTACAACAGAACTTTTTAGATTATTGCCAGTTGTTCTCCATGTATCCTAATGAAAACTTTTGCGCGATAAAGTGAAGCGCCAGCCACTCAACCCAGTGGAAATTTTGACGTCAGGTGGTATGCAGGTCTCTCTACGTTCAAACCTTCGTGATTTGCCCAGATGATAGACACGTTGTTCAAATATTGTTCAATGAAAGAAAGATCAACATGAAAAAATTAGTGGTGCACACTGTTTGAACCGAGACAGCTGAGTTATCACAAGTAGCCGAAAGCGACTGATTGCAGATTGATACGGTTTTTCCTTCTTCTTTGTCAGAGGTAAGCTTTGATGATTTTAAACCTCAAGAGGAAACTATTACCTCGCTCTCTCGGTGGGCTGTTTATCTACTTCTTTTCATCACAATTTTCTGTCGACTTCGAAAACTTCAAAATATCTGAAAACTTTAACCAGTGCAGTTGAGGACTTAGACAACAATTGTAAATCGGTACTCAAAAATTTGTGGTTTTCGGAAACCGAACAAAAATAAATATAACGACTTTAGCCCAGTAGACGGAAATCGGCACAAGAAGGTCAATATTCTAACTGAAATCGTGATAGATGCTCGCAGAAATTTTCCTGCTGGAAACATGATATTTTGGTGCAGATAGAACATTTCATTTTCGTCTCGATCAGATTCGCGCCTAGAATTTCAAATAGTTCGGCATCAGACAACAGAAGCAGGACCGACCCTAGGAGAATCAGCTCAAGCTTTTGCTGTTGCATTTGGCAAAGTTTACGCGGAACTCGAGAGCTAACTTCGATCCTCTGACGTCTCTGCTTTATTTGACTTGGAACTTAGTACGTCATGGCCAGGTCATAGTACTGAAACAGTTAGTTCGACAAGTGCCCTTTAGATATAAATCTTGCAGCACTATTACAAAGAAAACAAACCTCACGAACACACCGGTAAACAAAAGGTTTGAAATCAGGTAGGTTGGCGTAATCAATATCAAGATAAAACGTATTTTGTGTGGAAGTTAAATATGTAAATATCAATTTGTAATAGTTCGTGATTTCGTGCACATAATTTGTAATCCTTCAATTGAGTCTTCAAAGAGGGTTTCCCTTCGACCTTTTAAAACTTATTATCTAATGTTTACTTAAAATGTTGTAAACTTATTGCGGCCCTCAAAAATCCAACGGATTTAAGGTTTTAAAGGTTGAGACAATGACATGATAAATACAGCGCTTGTGTTCGCGCGTCGTGACCGCCTATAATTTTGACGAACTTTACGTTAAAACGTTCTTGTTTTGACTCAGGAAAGAGGAAAACAGAGTTAAGGAGTTCTTACAGTGTAATACTGATTTTAAAGACCTATCTATGTTGTTAATGTTATTAGGAAACTCTTCAAAAACTCGATAATTAATGACTGGGGGGCCTCCTAGAGAATATAACGCGAAAAATTTCCGGAATTATAATTGACCGGGTCACTACGGGGGATGAGTGATTTTCATGCGCGTGCAGCGAGAATTTCTCGCTAGCGCACGCCAGATACGGAATAGACTGCTTTTGAAAGTAATAGTTATAATGGTGGAGAGTGTTAAAAAAATTTTAGGCAGAAATAGCAGCTTGCTTGACTTAAGAAACGTCCCATCAAAACTGGTTCGAGTCGCGGATTACGGGTAAAAGGTTTATAGTGCTTGTGTCTCGCGCGGCCTAAAAGGGTGCTCTTGGTCTTTAACGAACGTGGATGCACCTTGATTTTATTTCAAAATGTAAGCTCCTTTAGATAAACAACAAATGGGCAGACGCTGAACAGAAATGTTAGTGTGGTTTTCTAGTATGGAGAAATGACTCTGCAGACGCCGAAGCGCTTGATATCACGCAGACTTTTTCAACAACTATAATTTTAAAGCCCAGTATGTCTGATCAATTATTTAACTATCTCCTATATATTTTTGTTCGCCCGTCAAACTTTAAGTAGTTCTCACTAACGATGGCTCCGATAAGAATGACAGGAAACTCCTTAGAAAAAAACAACACAGACAACGGATCAAAACAAAGCCATTCCGTAAAAGACCTTGATACATTCCAGGGTTGTACATGAATTTTCTGAGTGGCACTTTTTTCTGATAGTTCGTTCGTTTAGTATTCGTGTAAGTAATCTAGGGATGACTAAGTGTATCTACACTCCCCTTTTTTTATGTGGCAATCAATATTTTCGTGCTGTTTTCTAGTCTTCGCCTGACTTATCTCTGAAGAAATAAGAGCAAACTGAAGGAGGCTACAACGTGCGGCGCGTTGTCTTTTCAAAGATCGTAATCTTGGAATGTTTACGGAAAAGAAAGATAGACAAACTCACACTGTCAGTCAGCAATTTTCGCACCGCTTAACCTTCGGATTAAACCATGAAGAGTATACTGTCAGAGAGTTATCAAGATAAAGGGCAAGTGGAGAACAAACAAAATTTCATCTCGTTACTATGAAGCACAATGATAGTTAACGCTTATATGGGCATGATACTGATTTGAGATGTTACGTTTACGTGACTGTAAGGGATAACTGAGGTGTGATAGGTGACTGAAGCCAGCCTCTAATACTTATAAACCCGGATAATCCAAGCTTCGGCAATGACCCTTTAATCTGTTGGCTAGTTGTTGTTTTGCCGGCTTTTTATACCCTCGTTGTCTCGGAACGCTTAACAAACAAATCAACGCTACAACTTTCATTCCAGAAAAAAGCCGATTTCGAGAGCTTATTAACTCAAACTGTGGGTTAGAGCATCTTACACCTTTGTTTCACTCTTCTGTTGCTACCACAAATATGAGGCGTCTTATGCCGGATTGATGGTGAGCATACTCTGAAGTGCAAACGAGCAGGACCTAAATTTGTTCAGTTTGATATCAGTAAAATATCAGCTAGCCGCGGAAGAAATCGCTAGAAGAAGTACGTCATTACATTTACCCAAGTATATTTTCTTCCACGCATGCAAGGTAAGCCCGAAATTATTTCAAATTTTAATCCAAAGGCTCGCAGCCATGATTGCTGCACGTGAAGGAATGTTTTGGCATACTCGTAACACCCGAGTGACCCTTGGTTTCGAATAGTTTGTAAACAAGTTTCTATTCTAAAAGCTGAATCGTAAGCAGGTGGTTTCATTACCATATAAAATCGTTACACGGGTAAAAAGTTCTAATATTAGTAAAGAATATTTCTTAACTCTCGCCGGAAAGCCATAAAGAAAGATTTACACGAAAGCGCGAATTGTGGGGAGAAATGCAAATTTGAACAATTGTTATTAATGAAGTCTTGTCCTTTTGGCGCTAAAATAAAATACACGTGTGACAAATGAATGCAATCGTCTTGATTGAGCAGATTCCTGCAAATGTTTATCTCCAAGGCCTCTAGAAGGCGCTGGGATTGCTAATTTGCTCGTTCGGCAGGCTGTGGATCAAACCAATGATCCAACAAAATAAACTAATCGTGTCTCTTAGTTAATGTTGGATCTTTTTAATTCAAACTTAGATTGTAACTGAACATAGTTTAGTCTTTTAACAACAATCCGGTGACAGTTTAACAACCACAAAGAACACTTGGCTCGTTTCATTAGCTTAAAGGCCTTCGTGCGACTTAATGTTTCCGAGAGAGCGAAGTTTTTCCGGAAGTATATTGGCTGTCATATTGTATTATGTTAATAGTATCTCTTAAGATTTGAGTCTTTTAGGTTAAGATGGTGTATCATGGCCTCGTCTTGTGTTTCAGTTCATTTTTTTTGTGCCTTCGTCTCGTTCCTTGGGTCGCGAAAACCGATAGAACCACTCCGATATTTCAGGCATAATTGATAATATATCTAATCAAACATATTGCATGGCCGTGCGTAATTAAAAATCTTGTCTACGAATTTATCATTGACGAGAGAAGTTAAATTATTATCCTCGAGGAGATTTTTTATGGTTTGTTTATTACACTGATATTAATTACATACATAAAAGCAAGGACAATTCTAAACCACATGTTAAGAGAACCGAATGTAGAGATCACCTGCCCGTAAACTCAACCGCGCGCCGAAGAGCTGCTTCAACGTCCGACTGATATGATAAATGCATTACTAGTTATAATACATTACTTGCTTGAAGTCCGCAATTTCATTACGTTTTGGCGGCGAGCCCACTAATTTTTCAACATTTTCTACTTAAGAATTCACTTTGTGTATTATACTCTTAGTAGCATTGGGCAATTGGTCTAGGAAGGTACATCTTAAGTAGTATTGAAAAATGGTAGTAACCAAGAAACTAATTATGGAACAATTTCTATACAACATGCAACTCAACTGTGTCATTTTTTGACAACTGATTTGCGCGGACTTCCGGTAATATGTGGCCAATTGTGTTCTTCTAGAATAATCTATTGTTTACCCCGCTGACTCTGTTTTTGTTGGTTCTGCAGAAAAAGTGATGAAATAATAAAAGAATAAAGTTCAAACAGGCGTCCATTCAAGTTCTAACACTGAAGTCACTCAGCGTGAAGCCAGAAAGGCGGCCGAGAGCTGAGCTGAGCGCTACAGCATTTTCCGGTTTGTACCTATAGATTTATTCTGTTTAATTCCTTTTTCTGAGAATCGTCACAGGAAACACTTCTTACGAGCATTTGTGCGGTACTTTTATTGCGCTTTATAGTTCTGAATTACAAGTTTTTGGCCCTCTTAGCTTCACGGAATAAGCTGAGATTAGAAAACAATTCAAATCGAGGGAGCTGGAACGGAGATTGCATCTAATCGAGGTAAATTTACTACTAGTTAGATTCTTATCAACATTAGAAGTTACAGTCATCACAACTAATTTACAGGTTAGCTTTGAGAGGTGAGTGCAGCAGAGTCTTTGGATAAATCTATAAACTACGTGTTTGTGCGACCAAAGCTTCAAGACCGAAAAAAAACTGAAAGGAGAAATGAAATATGTCCAGCTTTACAGCGAAACGCAAAGCTTGCAATTTAACCAAATTCGCACTTTCAGCTTGACTTCCCTGACACGCCGAATCTGAATTAATCTAATGGTTGTTCGGCATTTGACTAAAAAGAATATCACCTTAGATATGGTTCGATGAAATACGTTGACTTTTGATTCGGACTGAGAAAGTATTTGAAGCTGAGGCGTACATATTTACGACTATAACACTGAGGCCAAAATCACAGCTTCATCATGTTCAGTAGTTTTAATTATATGCAACCAAATTGAATTACAAATATTTACCTTTCTTCGAGGATGCAGTGCGTTTGTACTGATATCAGGCATTTTCCCGTGGAATTTAATTCAAGGAAAGACTTTTGGTAGGTTAAGTGACCTCACGACCACATATGCCGTTCTTTATAAACAGGGGAGACATTTGGCTAGAATACTAGTTATCCAGCTAATTATTCTCTCCAAAGTTTTCTGTCATATTAACCTTTCAGTTTTGTATTTTTAGCTTGTATCTGATTCAATTAGGATAGAACTCTAAAAGAGAAACATAAACGAAAGCCTTGGTAGCTTTCCGCCGTTTGCGTTGTCACCACATGTCCCACAGCGTGGGAGAAAGAAGCCGAAGGCGCCATAAATTTTCCTGTTTACTTCGATAACTTTGTACTCTTCATTTTTCTTAAAGTCATGGTAACGAAAAATAAATTGAAGTGAGCGTTTGTTTGGTACATTTGGAACACTTTATCTAATTTGGGCGCTGGTCCTCAGTTGGGAAAGAAGATAAGTAATTAACACAATTTGAAGCAGTAGACAGTTATAGAGATACTCTACCGTGAGGTAATGCAAGGCCCTGTTCCAGTTCAGAAAGTAGCTCGAACCTATTGCCGCATGAGACTGAAGAGATACAAATGTAAACAACTGTATGTCGAGGTAGCTTTCGGAGGGGTCGAAGGATAATTAATTATAACTCATAACAAAGCTATAAGTTAAAACAATTTCCATCAACTTCATATTAGAGAAATGATTGACGGAAGATGTAAAACATGGTGTAAGATTTCAACAAAAATATTCTTCAGAGAAACGAGCCAAAATTCGCAGTTTTGAAATTGAAATTGAATCCGAGTCAGCATAATGCTTCATGGCAGGCATTTTCGCCGCGTGAAGCACATACGAACTCCCTGCATACGCACACTTTCATTTTACACTTGTAGAAAGAAAGTGGTCACCTTCATGCTGAAACAGTGATGTAACACAGATAGTTTAATTATGTTCAGCAGCTTGCATCTCATGTGAGCAGAAACTGAGACAAAAATGTTCAACTTTCTAGATTGTTACAATGAGTCGATTGTCGATCACGCTGGGCACACACGTAAGACCGACAAAAAATGAATCCGTCAAAACATAACAAACATTTCTCTCGCCGTACGTAAAACAAACCACTGAGAAGTTTAAATAACTCGACAAGTTTATTTGTATTTTGTTCTCGCACGTTCTCAAAATGGGTGACTAATATCCTTTCAGTTACCTATGACTGTCATTGTAATATATGAAAAGCCGTTATTTCACACGCTAATATAACTGGAAAATAGAGATACAGCTTCATGATAAGTTTGGTACGTGATTGGGGGCGGATTTTAATTGGAACCATTGTTTTTTTGCTAGCGTGCTGCGGAGAATCCCCGACGGCGTCGTTTGAATTGTTCAAAACGGCCCTGTGGTTAATTTGACTTCATAAAATGCATCATTATTTAATGCGATATCATTAAAGCAATCGAAAGGAAAATGTCAAAGTGGGAAATTATAGAGCTAGCTGTGCCAAGAAAGAGTTATGTTAAGGTGTGCTTCATTTTTCTTTGGCGCAAAACCATGACATGTGAAATGAATTATAATCGACAGTTGAAAATTCTTCAGTTCGCTTTTTTTCCCGCAATGATGCCGAGACATTCTAAATTTTTAAAAAGAAAGATTTCTTATTAAATATCCAAGGTTTACGTGGGCAGGATGTTTGACAAGTCCCACGTCCTTTAAATCGCTGAAATAGAATTAAGAATTATTTTTCACTAAGTTTACATTAAAAAGCTGTCAATTTTTTGTAATTGGGATTCCTCACACCTAGATGAGAATATCAAAGAATCAACGAAAGCTTTCCACTCGACTATATTTATCCAGTCTCAAACTGTTCTTTTTTTATATGTTTCCTTCTTTTTATGCAGTTTTTGTGCGGTCCAAAACGAGCGCGGTTTTCAGTTTTGAATCTAGGATGAAGCACACTCGCCATGATTAGTCAATTTTAGCTTAGGGTTAGGAAAATGCGGGCCGTATTCTTTAGAGGAGGCCGCTTCGTAAGTCCAGGGACGGCAAGAATTTCCTTTATTAAGGGCTGCCGCTATACAACGAACATCCCATAAAAATGTTTTCTTGTTCCTTACTGTGAAATGTGAAAACATGAAATTCCAACAAAAGGTTCTCTTTTGTTATTCGATGTTATGAAATATGAATCTATCAGGCTCACAGCGGTAAGTTGCAACGCTAGAGAATTTATCACCAAAATATTATAAAACTTCAAGTGAACAGCTGATTTAGCCAAATTGTTAATGAAATGTTCTGACATCAGTTTAGATGTAATCAGCTGCTGATATACTGTTATGATTGGTCGATTTTTTCCACTCCATTCGAAATGCAAACGTGACATTTTGTTGATTGCAACAGGAATTTTGAAAGCAAATATTACGAAAAGAAGGTGAAAGCTGCGTACACTTAGAAATAAGTGAACTTTTGAAAACGAGCTACCATTATTTTAAAGAGCATCTTAATAAACAATTGGTTGGTTTTCAAAATTAAGTTAATAAAGAAAGGTGAAACATCGTGGCGAATTTTGAAAAGCGAACCGGCGTTGCAAGAGTTGTTTGCTCTGACGACAGCTTCATAGAAACGTAAGAGCTGATAGCATTTAAAATTTGCCACAGAGTTTTATTTACCTTTATCAACTAGCAGTGGATAACCAACGCAGCAAAACCTCCTTCATTTGCTTCTTAGTAACTAGAGGTGTTGATAGCTAGGTATTTCAACTTTGCCGACAGACACTTTGTTGAGCATGAGTGAATATAAATAAATTACTTTTACAACGACTTGCTTAAAGAAATTCTGCGCAGAAAGCACTCAGTAACATTGGTTAGAAAGGTGTAAAGTGGCTTGAATATTTCTTTCTCGTGGAATACAGACATTTCAGGTTGACTTGAACATATTTACACACAGTGATAGCTATAACTGTTTTTTTTCACTGAATGATTTGTCAGTGCATAAATTACAGAGTGCACTATTGTAGTAAACACACTTTTGTCAAACTGCGTCGACGTGATTGGTTCATTGGAGAATGAAATTGATAGATCTTCAGTTCGTAATATTTAGTTTATCGGGTCTGCTTAGGGCTTGGGTGGTTTGAGGACAAATATTGCACAATCTAGCGGGTGAAAACCTTTGTATGGGTTTTAATCTAAATATATCACGTTCGCAACGCTCTTCTGAGACCCATAAAATGACGAAAAGTTTGGTATGGTTTTGCTAAAGCTGTAATTACTGAGGAACCGAGGAATCCGAAGTCGAGAAGTTATATGATGGACTGATCGTCATATTAAGAAAAGAAAACAGACCGGTGAGTTCGATGAATGTGTTCTCATTGAGACCGGAAGGTAATGAATTGATAGCTTTGAACTAAGAATTACTAAATTATGGCACAATTAGCAATCAAACTTCTTTGCCTTGCTAATTTCTCGTTACCCATCATTGCTTTTTCTTGTGTTTGTTCTACTCGTTTCCGGCTTTTGTTTGTTGTTGTTGTTGTTGTTGTTGTTGTTTTGACTCGTTTTGTTTTCATTGTGAGTGCCATACGTTGGTCTATTTATGGCAGTGTGAGAGTTAATTGTAGTCCTCGACAAGCAAGCCCTCTGCTGGTCAATCGTTTAGGCGGTGATTCACAGCTTGAACTACGTTATCGTTCCCGAGATAGAATAGAGTTAGCACTCAGCATAAAAAGGAATAATTTTAATGTTTAGTATCGATCGTGAGTCAAGCCAGCTTGAAGCATCCTGTGAATAATAATAAAAAAGGGTTTCTTGAACTGCTTAATCTCACTTGTTTTCAATTTCGAAAAGTGAATCTAAACCTTCTCAATTAGCCCAATTAAGCCGAGTTCTTTCTCGCTGGTAATGGGAGAAAAGAAGAGAAGTAGTCTTAAAAGTCATCTCGAGAATATGACCGTGAAAGTAACTTTAAAAGTCAGCGTTTCTTAAACTTTGATCCTTAATGTGACAGAGCCACACAAGGGCTGTGAAGGAGACTACTTGCAAGCGTGGTACCAATGCAGTTTATTTCTGCTCACAATTGTTCAGACAACAGACCACAAAATAGCTGTCTTAGATATTTCATAAAAATTGGAAAGGTCTTTTTGGCTCTCTATCGAACGATGTTTTTGTTGGAAAATTTGAAAATTATTGCTCCTTTTCTTTTAAAAAATTGAAAAAATCGGTGTCTCATCTCAACCCACCCATCCAAAATAATAACAGTTGCATGCGTGTCATGCCTATGTTTGCATTTATATCTTCTACCAGCTGTGCATTGAGGTGAGGTCGGGGAAAACAATGACATGAAGTGAATTTGCAATTGTCCCTTAAATTAATTTAACCTTGCCAAATACCTAAATTCTTCTCTTCGTAAATGCATTTACAAATTTAATTTCGAAAGACGCATTTTAGTGATGCATTAATTTTTACTGTTGACACAACTAATTTTAATCGATGATTTCTAACGACAGTAGTTTTATGATTA